GCGTTTGCATCACGAACGTTACGACGAACTCTCTCGGGTGCATGCGTCGCGTGCACATGCATATAATGTTACTGTTACGCGCGGCGGCGATAAGAGCCGCGTCCCGACGCGGCGCGTTGTATCATTGTCTACTCTGTGCGCGACGTGTTATTGTGATACGTCGCCTCCGGTTCCTTCAGCCATTGAACCGTTCGCTCACCCGCTCGCTCGCTCGCCTCAATTACGCGAACTACCAACAGTACCAACAAGTTGAAACGAACTCCCGTGGAGCTTGCGCGCAAATAGATTCGTGGAATTCGTTCGAATTTGAGAGCGAGATGAAGATCGTCTAGCGCGCCAAGTTCACCGAATCCTCTCGTTGCGATCGTATGTCGTCTCTCACGTCGCGGATACGCGCGCGATAACGCGCTTAAGGAGGTTTTCTAGTCTTTTCACATAATGTAACAACTTCATCAAATATTGAGAATAAGTTTGTAATTAATATGTACACTGAAAAAAAGATTGGCTGCTGCAGCAAATTAGATGGTAAAATATGGCATAGTATTTTTAATTGGCTGCAGCAGCCAATTTTTGGTTGCGTTATCAGCCAATCTTTTTTTTCAATGTAGGCATTCTTTTTTTATTTAAACTGCGCGCCAAATTAAAAATGTAAGAATTTTGAAGAATCATATGGATATAAAAGAATGAAGTTTGAAGAACGTTTTGGAGTTAAAGAAATTAAGTTTCACCATATGAATTTCATGTGAGAATACCTATAAAATATTTATAAATTCTTTTTAAATATGACGTCACACTAATGAAAACATAACAACGTCGTTTCTATCAGAATTATCTAAATTAAATTTAAATAATTATTATAATTTTCAATATTTTCCACATAAATATTTATTTTTATTATAAAGAAAATATTATTTAATGGCAAATTAAATAGTTTTGCTGCTTCTTTATTCAATACTTATTTTTTAGAAGATGGCAATGGCATTTTGCATTCTTTGTGCTCTTATATTAAGATAAGAAAAGTCACATGACTCCCCTCTACTTTTTTAAGCTGGAGAATCTCCTTCAGAGAATCTATATCAGGCTGATAGATGTTTTATGTGTGTGTGTTGTACAGCAAAGCTTTTTAAGCGTGTCGATTGATTATAAGGTAGAGAGATTCGAGAACTTCTGTCCTGCAGCTAATTAATACGCTAAAAAAAACTGATCGTACGATAAATGAAATATTAGCCTCAAACTATATTCCTAGTCGCAATTTATTGGCGATACTTTGATTAAATTGAGAGTATACTGAGCCAATATTGTGTCAATAATTGTACATCGAAGATTGCGAATTCGGAATTAAACATTAGAATTCGACTAATCTCATTAATTTTATTTTAATCCGTTAAAGTATCTAAAAATTGAGCTAAATGGAAATAATTTTGTTGAACCATCAAAATAATTATGTAGGAAACTCAAGCATGATAAGCAATGCTGTAAAAGGTTTTGACGTCCTAACAACCAACGTTTGAACGTTCTACATAATTATTTTAATATTCGAACAAAATTATTTTCAAATCTGTATTTAAGTTTTTAGCTACTTTAGCAAAAATGTACTTTCTATGCAGTATGTAGAATAATATTATTGCTGTCTATTATTATGTTTAGAGATTCACGCGATATCTGATAACAGTGTTAATTTGAAACTGTTAATTAACGATTAATAAATCGTTCTTTTCGGAAAGTGGGTCTCAATTTTTAATGCGCAATCCGATACTGCAAGCTTTACTCGATCGAGCAGCACATTCGTAGACATTTTAAGTAAAAATATCCCATCCGAAATAAGTCTGTTCTGCAAAGATTGCTGAAAACTGCAGCGAATGAATTGCAAAAAGTTGCGCGTGAAGGAAATTTGCGAGTAATGCAGACGTTGGACAAAGGAGACAAGAAAATGCAGTTCAAAGGATTGGAACGTTCCTTCTCGAACAATCGTGTAATACCTCGCAGGAATTTCTATTGTCCGCGCGTATGATAACTCAAGTAGAAAACACAGAAGTCGTGAGAATATTATAAGAATATTATCATGACCCTATTTGCCACTTATAAGTTCATTTTTAAGTGACAAATGACGTTATGCTGTCCTACGATATCATGACTTACGCCTAAATTCTAAGCAGATTCATAAAACTCGTAATATATTCCTGTAAGACTTGTAAGAATTTTTAAGTGCTTATACCTTTATATTTTTGCAGACAGCTTTTTACTAGCCATAAAATTTACAAGAAATCGTAGATATTTACGAATAATCGTACGTCTTACGATACATACTCATGAAATTAGAATACTACACTGAAAAAAAGATTGGCTGCTGCAGCCAATTAAAAATGCTATGCCATATTTTACCATCTAATTTGCTGCACCAGCCAATCTTTTTTTTCAGTGTAGTCATACAAATTCTTACAAGTTTTACGAGGACACATTACGAGTTTTTCTGCTTAGAATTGACTCGTTAGACTTTTATTCTATAGCATACATTCTGCAATAAGCCATTAGTAATAAATCAAAAGTCAGAAGCTAGAAATTGATCAATCATAGTCAATTACTCTTCTTACATTTGACTGTGATTGGTCGATTTTTAGCTTCTGACTTATGATTAATTATTACTGACGGTTTATTGTAGAATGATCATAACTCTCAACGACAGTAACGATATCGTTACATTGTCGTTGCGCAAATTCCATCATACATGGTAAAAAAAATTACACAACGACAATGTAACGATATCAACACTGTATTTAATGGGCTTTCTACAATAAGCTATTAAGGAGTTTTTGCAATAACGTGAATGAAGATACGCTAAAGTCACGTTATCTTTTTCTTAATTAGTTTTTAAGAAGAAGATAACGTGATCTTTTTGCAAAAACTCCCTATTATCTAAGCTTTTAAGTCTTAAATCCCCACAGTCCAAAGTTGCACAAAAGTTGAAGCAACATCGCAGCAATATTGCAGAGATTTTGCAGCGATATTGCTGCAAATTCTGTGCTGTATGGAAAACGGTAAGAAACTGACCAATCACAGTCAAATGTGAAAAGAATAATCGACTATGGACATTTTCTAGCAGAGAAGTATAACACGGTGAATCATTACATCCTTGTTGCTTGCCAATATTGAACAAAGATGAAATGATTCATTGTGTTACTGTGTCCTTGCTGGAAAGCACCATTTGTGTTCTACCTAGGATAATCCGTACGCAAGCGATTAAATTGAAACTAAACGTGGCGCGCTCGCGAGATTTCTCGGATTCCTCCCGACTGTCTCGCACGCGACAGACCTGCAATCGATGCATTTACATGTCCTACTTAAGTTATTTATCGTCGGCCTCGCAAGCGTCATAATTGTCGGTTCGAACTAGCGCTCGAATCGCCGCAAGAAACCCTCCGCGCGCCGCCGCGTTCCAAAATTGCCGATTCGCGCCGAACTTCACGCGACTCGAGTCGCGGAACTTCGTTCGCGAAACGAGAAAAGAAAATAAAGACAAGAAAAGTAAAAAAAGAAAGAGAAACAAACACGGAGATAATTTCACGGATATCGCGGATATGATATCTGGAGGCGCACAGATTTATCGCCGTCTCGCGGAATTGCGAAAGTTTAAGCGCACTCACCTCCCTGTCGTCGTCGCCGTCGTCGTCGTTCGGCGTTTCGATACACGCGCGATCTCCCGCGCTGCGTGAATCCGCGCGCGACACTCCAGTGGCGGATCTCCGTTGCGTCAGACGACGAGAAAAAAGCGTAATAAACACGCACGACGCACGCACGCACGGAAGTAGGAAGAAGGCAGACACGCACGGAACCCGAAATGCGCTCGTCTTTCGAACGCGCGCGCGGACCCGACGAGCGCGACAGCGAACCGTCGGAGCGCCGTCCCGCAGATTGCCGCTTACCCGGCGGAGCGCGCGTTCTTTGCAACCTCCCCTCGAAAAACCGCGACACTCAAGATGGCGCCACCGTCCCCGTCTCGAGGCTCCAGGGCTTTAGAACGTTAAGACGCGTACAGAAGCAACTAGACCCCTTTTTTTTTTTTAAACGATAATAAACAATTTTTATCGAGCTCTCATTATTCAAAATAAATTACAATAAAACCGATCTAATTAAAGGTAATACTTGTGCGGTTGTGTTATTTGTATCTGTTATACAAATTTATTCATAATATATATAGTAATTAATCAACCTGATTCCATCAATGTAAGATTAATTTTAATCTTCTGGTTCAATTTTCTCTTCATCTTTTTTTAATTCTAAGAATTGCAAAGAGGTAAACAGTAAGTTAAATTGAGATTAAAAGTTAAGCTTACATTGGTGGAATCAGGCCTTAGTATTCGATGCTAGAAATCGCTCCGAGATCTCGAACAGAGAAGAAATTAATAAAGTTTGAACAATTGGGCCATTCGATCAATGTGAGTTAAACTCAATCATATACATCACATACACACACAATCAAGTACAATATAAATATTTAAAAGAGGAAAATAAAAGCAAGATAATTTAACATAATTTAAGAACAAAAATTAAGCTATCTTATATGTGTATGTTTGATATATTATAAATGAAGCAGGATAATGAACGATAAAGTTCGTTTTTATTCCACCCTTCAATTAAAAAAAGAAAAAGATTTTAAGTTGAAGATATAATCTTATCATGCCTATACCGTTTTCTTTTTATTCTTTAAATTTTTTGCCTTTTTAATTTGTACTTTTTGTTTCATAAATGTTTTATTTTTAAACTTGTTTTCGGTGTGCAAATCCCGAAATTTAATTCAGGATCTTTCTTGCCCTTAAATATATTTTATTCTTTTAAAAACAAAATTTGGTTTTTACGTATAAACGAATTTATAAACTAAATTTGAATTCTTTAATATAAGCGGGTAAAATCGAACACATACATATACATATAAATGTTTTTACTATTTTTTGGAACGTCAAGAATAGCGGTAATTCCCTTTTTCTACCCTCATACATTTCTAATACTATAAATAAAAATAATTCTGGTACACATTATGCAAGTATATATAGAAAGTGTTATGTAAATAATAATACTTAATTATACCTGATTAAATATTTACAGTAATTGTATTTTCGTAACGAAATTAAAAACGTTTATATACAATAGAGCGAGAGATACTCTTCACGCTTGTAACACCGGCCTTTCGTGTTTGCCTTCCAATGAATCATTAACGAATGCATAACCAGTGCCACCCTGTAAAATAGTGAAATGGGTATTACTCTCAGTATGATTATTCTTATACTGTTTGTAACTAACTATTTACCCTTTGTAGAGGGATGATATCAGATGGTGTCAATTTAGAATTATCTAAAGGATTAATCCAGTCCTTTTTTATCAGTTTTTCCACACATTCCATTGTGACTACGTCACCGCTGTAAATACAAAATGTTTAAACAGCACGACAAAATTGTTATTTGCGACACAAGACAGATTATTCAATTCTCTCTTACGTTGTTTTTATCACGGCGCAAGGGACACTGTTGCCCAACACATCGTGCGTGATAGGACACATGTATCGTGCCTGTTTGACGATAAGCGATCTCTTATCATCTGGATCCTGGACCACTGTGAATTTTATCGGAATCAAATCCTTCACTTTCAATGGCTTTCCACTGAGAGGACAATAAATGGTCTTGTCAGGTTTCTTTAAGGAGATTTCCTTTGCTCCTGGTGTCTTCGAGGGTATCCAGAAGCTCGGTAACATCTTGTCCTTGCCATTCTTCATATTAGAGACCGAATCTCCATCCGTTGTACTGGGACTGCTTGACACGATAGTTTTCTCACCCTTTAGAAAATTTTGAAGCTTTTTCAGCTCCTCATTGGCTGTCAGTTCTTGTGATTGCTCCTGTAATAAATACAGCGTATATAAATACATCGACTATTCGAACTGCCTGATGATTTCGATTTAATCAATTTAATAAAATGCAATAAAAGAAACCATGTATTACAAATCATGTAGTATATACACTATAGATGTAATAAATGGCTTCTGATTAAGAGTGTTTTCCATTTAGCGATACAAGTTGATATAAACATTCTATCTTTCTTGCCATTCAATGAGCAATAGAGACAGAACAACACTTGTGTCGATTTGTGTCACTAAATGAAAAGCAAAGATGTACGGTGGAATAGTGCTGGAAGAATGCTCCTGGAATGCAATCTGTACATCAGGCTTAAAGCTCATTTATAATCTAACCTCTTCCTTTTGCTTTTGCTTCTCATATTCCTTCAGCTTCCTCGTGTATTCCATTTTTTTAGTCAAGATATACTCCAATATCGCTTCTTTATCAAATAAATAACCATCCTTCCTGCAACAATGGATTGTTGATCTTAAATAAAATATGCAAATGTATATACAACTACAGATCACATGTCCATCTCTACCAATGCAGATTAACTTTAATCTCTTCTAATGTTTACTAAAAAAAAGAGATAAAAAGTATGTTAAGATATTAGAAATTAAAATTAATAGAGAAATGAACAATAATAGGGCCTTACAGGTCAATAATACTATCAGTACCAACAAAGACTGACAATATTATTCTATGTAAGAAAATTCCAAAAATTTCCCTGAGTCTTGGTACAATTTTATGAAATTCTTGATTCTTTTTTTTAGAGATAAAAGAATCTGAAAATTCCAAGTTTTTTAAGTTTTTATAAATAATAAACATCCTGTGCAAAATTCGTGACATAAGATATTTACGTCATCACTGGGTTCCTGCAGGGTTGTAAAGTCAGGCAACAACAGTCGAAATCTTTGACGGAGTCCTTGCCCACTCGTTGAGTGTTGGTGCCATAACCTGACGCTGCAGCGTCCTTCTTCTTCTCATGATACGTGTATACTGCACCAGCGGTGCAATTCCTCGCATGCCGCGTCATCGCGATCGAAAATTCGCAGTGATACTTCTCTTTAAAGAAAATATTACTCGTTCTCTTCAATCTCCGAGTTAAGAGCTTGTTGGAAGTTTCAGGATTTCCCTTTGCTGATGGAATCTTCTCTCCTTGAGGTTATATGATATCTACAAGAGCTCGTGCTAGACTTTTAAACAAATATAAAAGACGAATATAGATTTTTGTAACAATACGGAAAAATCTGTGGTTCATACTACTTTTTTAGGTTAAGATGATGAAACGCAAATTTGTCCATTTCTCTACGGCTAATATCAAATGAAAACATTGTTAAAATGTAAATGCAGCAACACACGAAAAAAATGAGACTTTTTGGCAAAAGGCAAAGAACAAAATTACATACCTGTTTAAAACGAAAAACAGCGAACGTTTCACCCAGACTCAGAATCAGAAAAACATCAAATTGTTGACAATTATTGACTGTGCGGCTGATGGCGTCATTAGCGTCCGCCATCTTGGTGTATTGGATTGGTTGACGTGAACCAATCACGTTCATAGATCGCCGATGCATCGGATTGGCCAATAAAAACGCCGTCGATTTCTCTCGTATCGTTACGAAGTCTGTTCGTGTTGCTTGTATGTACATACATGATATGTTTGTTGTTGTCGAGTTGAGACAAATGTATAATACTTTGTTCTCTTTGATACACCGATAACCGTTTAAGAATATCCTTCATATCAAATATTTGCTATGTTTTACTTGGATGCGCGAGAAAAAAAGTCGTCAAGTTTTGGAGATTGGGATTTTAATCTCATTCAGGGATAAAATATTGAGATTTTTAGTTTTCCCATGTGGCAACACTGTATCGGGCTCTACACAACAGTTGAGTCTACTGAACGCGACCTTTGTCGACCAATTTCAATGAAATAGGTTAGAGAACTGTTTGATGTGGGTATCTCCAGATCCCCACCCACACTTCTCATGCTTTTAGAAAACTGCAAGTAATGTTTCCTTTAGGTTTTTTCTCGGATTTTCTAGAATTCCATAGAATGTGATGAAAAACAAGGTCAGCTTGCATTATTTGTCACAGATACCATTATATTATTTCTTGTTTCGAAACCATTATTTTTGAACAGATTAAAAACTGTTTAATGTAGCATCGATTTTAATATTTTTTATAAGAAATATTTTCTTTAAATCATAATTCTGTGGATTCATAATACGATGGAAAATAATGAACATCTTTTGTGTCATATTACAGATGCGGTTGTGCTAGAGATCATACTTTCCAGAGATATAAACTGTTATTTTTAACGTTTTTCTATAATAATGTTTTAATGACGTTGCAATTTTTTTATGATAACTAAGGTAACGATATCTAAGATTAAGAATATCACTTATGAAAAATAACTTGTTACGTTCATGTTTATATAACGTAGAAAATTATTATGTAATGTAGTCACTCCACTTTTAAAAACTTGCATTTCTTTCAGATCCCAAAATTCTAGAATTCTATGGAATGCGACGAAAAACGATGGCAAGCGTCTTCTTGCATCATCCATTCTTGACATGATTTCTCTAATACCGTCATTTTCAAATAAGTATTACATGCTTTCTACAATAAGCTGCTACCTGAACTTCAAGTCTTAAGCCATAAAAAATTTACCAATCATGGTCGACTATTCTTTTCACATTCGACTGTGATGTCTGTGATTGATTAATTTCGTATTATTTCTTTCTCAAAATTAAGTTTAAGTAATGGCTTATTGTAGAAAGCTCATAAGAACCATCAACCTGCTTTCAGAAATGTGCAAATAACGCTTCTTTTAAATAGTTATTTAATTAAGGCTCTATGAAATATGAAAAAAGACTGAATAAGCGTTTTAATTTATATCATAAAAATCATTTTGCAGATTATATTATTTCTTATTTTAATACAGATTTTAGAAAATTACGTCATTTTAATACCATCATTTTCAAAAGTAACTGTTTAATACATTGTCATCTTGTTCTTAGAAATTTACAATTAATATATTCTATGAAATATAACCGAAAATATATTCTATGAAATATAACAGAAAATAATAATATAGTCTATGAAATATAACAGACTAAACAAGCAATCTTAACTTATATCACAAACGAGATTAGATAAAATAAGATAAAATAAGCATAGTAAAAAAAAAACCATGTGATTCCTTTTGTAACCTTAACAGTTTTTGTGGACAGCAACTCTTTATTACAAATGTCACTCTCTATACAAGTAGAAAAAAATACATGCTCTTATTTACAGTTCAAGTCAATTCAAGTCAGCGGACACATTAAGGTAATTCCCTTGTTGACGAAAAAAAAAAAAACGGATGCAAATAACACGATTGAAAAAACGTCACGCGTCGTTTAATATTCAATGATAGAAGGAACTAGAAACGAATCGGGAGTCCTCATGAACAATTCATTTTTTCCCCCTGTCGCCTTTTGCCTCGCTCCCATCAGACGAATCGTCATCGTCGTGCCGCTTGTGCTTCTTGCGTTTCTTGCTTTTGGAGCTTTTCTTCTTCCTCTTCTTTCCCTTCTTGTGCTTCTTCTCCTCGCTGGATGACGACGAGGACGAGGACGACAACGAGGACTCGTTGTCGCTGCTCTCCGAGCTCTCGCGTTTTCTCTTACGCTTCTTCCTGACTTTCTTTTCCCGCCGTTTTTTCCTCGCCACCCGCAGCTTCTTCCGCAACTCGCGCTCCCGCAGCTCCGTCAACGGGGTGACGTAATTCTCGTCGCTGTCCGAGCTCGTGCTGCTCACGTCCAGCACGATCTCCTTGTTGGGGTCGATCTTGATGAAGTTGCGACACTGATAGGTTAAGTGCCCGGCGTAGCCGCATTTCTTACAGGCCGGTCTCACCTGCTCCTTGCTCTGCGGGATCAATCGCGAAAGGACGCCGGGATCCATGATTCCCAGAAGAAGACGAGCACGGATGAATCGCAGACAGACGATTTCGCGGCGAATCTCAGTCAGTCTTAACCTTAACCTTCTTCGGCCGCGAGCACATCGAGAAAGTGACGCCAACCGCGTCGGAGCTGCATATCTTATTGCGACGATTACTCCGAGTAATAAATCTCCTAAAGGAAATCTCTGGAAACGAAATCGCGAAAGCGAATAACGATTCCTTTCGAAAATATTCTCATCATTATGGATGTTAATTATTACTAATTAAACGTTGCAATGCTGATGTAAACTGCAGGTAGCAACAATTGCTAGGATGATCCGTGCTTAGAGTTAACAGTCTTTTAATGTCCGTTTCTACCAATGTAGATTAACTTTAATCTTGTTTTAACTCTTAGAACTAGGAAAGAATAAAGAATTATTGAAAATTTTAATGTATAATTATATCAGTGAGAAGAGACAATTATCAATAAAAATTATATTCTAGAAATTTTATTTTATTAAGTACGTTTAATGTATAAAAAATTAATAATAAAATAAATTATGTCCTTCATTTTTGCTTCCGAATAATCTTTTTCTTTTTATCTCGTCTTTTTGTCGCTTTTTATCGAAATAAAAATTGAGAAATTTCGGAAGAAATAAAAACACATATATACAAAAAAAATGATGTGTAAATAAAGCAAAAGTTAATAACAGTCGAATTTATAATGAATGAAAAGACGTCATATTGACATCAAAGTAACAATAATAAATAACATCAGTTCGTTTGCAGGGAACAGATAAAAAGCAAGAATTCAAGAAATAGGAAGCAGAGCTAACACTCGTGAGCATCATCTCTGTTTAAACATTCGACAAGGACGAAACGAATCTCAAACATTGCGGACGTGAATCAGAGACCTCCATCAAGGTCACTTTAACCACCCACGTTTACGCAAAAAAATTTTCAAAAACAGTCCGAAGAAATCGAAGAAAATCGATCGATCGACAAACGAGCCAAAGACATTCCCTCACGTTTTTATGTGAAAACGCTTAAAATCATCCTCGGCACGCCGAAAAGAAGGGCTGGACGCTCCAGAAAACGTGGTCGATCGCGTCGTACATGAACGCACACATACACGTGCACATGGACGACCAAGGACGACGTCACGCGCGCGTCCACCCCACCTTTTGGAAGAACGCGCGAGCTATCGCGATGATTCTAGATCTTCGGAAAATGTCGTCACTTCCGGTAAGCTACGCGAGTCACGCGAGCGAGGCGACCAGCCGAACCCGAGCGGACGCTTCTCGCTCGGAAAATCGGACGTGTTTCGACGCGTCAATTTCTTCGACAATTTTTCGAAGCCACGTGACACTCGTGGCGGTGAACGAGATTCCCGCTCGATCCCGCTCGCGAAACGCGCGCTTGATAGAAGGTTCTAGAAGCCGGGCGAACTTCCGCCGTCGGCGCCTTCTAGAATATTCGCGCTCGACGCGCCGTTTAAAGGCGACGCCGCGCGCCGCGAGCGAACCATTCGTTACGGAGCTCTCGTGCGAGTCGGTCGGTAGATATTGGTCGGTGGTTCGTTCTTTGCGCATCGTGTGTCCCAATTCGGACTACGGTCTCTAACGACTATTCGTAGTCGGCGTTTTCCCGTTCGAATTTGATATTGTGGAAAAATGCCTGAGGACGTGAGCATGACGGACGCCGGCGAGGTGGAGACCTTCGCCTTCCAGGCCGAGATCGCTCAGTTGATGAGCCTGATCATCAACACCTTCTATTCGAACAAGGAGATCTTCATCCGAGAATTGATCTCCAACTCGTCCGATGTGAGTATCTTAGGTTATCGTTCGTTAATCTTTCGTTAACTTTCGCATAGCCACGTTCAGAAGCTTCATGAGCGTTAAGGAGCAGAGAATAATTTGTGTTTCAAAATTTATAATTTTTTTTATTCTTTTTATGTGGATACAAAATAATTTGAAATTAGAAAAACGGGATTTGAGCAACGATTTTCTCTTTTTCGAAATATATAAAATTTTATATACTAAAATACACAAATGTACAAAAATACAGGAAAATTAGAGGCGTTATGCAAAACATTATTCCATTTTATCCTTGAGCTTATTGCTTTTAGCTGAATTTGTTTTACAATTCGGCTTTTCTATTTTTTTTTCTTCAATATGGAAGGAAAAAAGAAGATAATCTGTGCAAGAAGTGCAGATAAGAAGGACAAGCCTAAAAATAGAACGAGGAATATTTTGTATGATACTTCCAATTTTTCTGCATTTTATCATTAAAAAAATTTTGTGTTTATTTTTGTCTAAAGGATTTATAAAATATTATCAATTTTTATTTAATTGTAAATCATTGAAGAAAGAGAACAATGGAAATTTAGTTGTGTTAAAGTTGCAAATACTCTGTAATTACATTAAAAAAATTCATGTAAGTAATGGAGGGTTAAAAAAATTCGGCGCCGTTGTCATTGATTTACTGCAAATTGTGTCGATGTCGTGTGAGATAACTTTTAATATTTAAATATTAATATTTTTTCGAATTTAAAATTTTTTATATCATTTCTATGCGATATAACGTTTTCTAATTTTTCTTTTTATGTTTGCAAATTTGTAGAAATGAAATTAATAATTGTATGAATTCGGAAATAAATTGAAAACAATTGAGTCTTGTTAATGACGTGACGTTACATCTTTTATGAATCTGTTTAGGCATTGGACAAAATTCGATATGAATCTCTCACGGATCCATCCAAACTGGACACTTGCAAGGAATTGTTTATTAAGATCGTACCGAACAAGAATGACCGTACTCTGACGATCCTTGATTCGTAAGTATTGACTTTTTTTTTATAAAAATATGCCTGTTTTCAGTTAAAATTTTTTGTGCCATTCATCTTTTTCTCTCCACATTAGAAAGAAAACAAGAAAAAAATGAACGTTGCAAGAAGTGCATTAATTTAACTATTTCTCACTATTTCTGTTTCCACCAATGCTAAATTTTTATCTCGGTTCAACTTACTCTTTATCTTCTTCTAATTCTTACAAGGGGAGGTTCCAGAGTAACATTTCATGTTGCTGCAACTTTTGTGTAATATTACAGAATTTTGCAGCGATATTTCTGCAAATTCTGTGCTGTATGGAAAGGTTGTTATCATATCCACTACGCTACAAATACTTGAGTATAAACTTTCTAATAAACTCTAAATGAAATGCTGTTATCAATTTTAATATTGAAATATCTCAGAAACAGTAGACCGTCTACATCCAAATGTTAAACCAAGATGAAAATTAATTTACATTGATGGAAACAGGCATAAAAAGAACAAATATAATATATAAGGTAAATTGCTGGATTCACACTGCATTCGATTTTCGTCGTACGATGCTCTGCATCCAATCAGAAAAGAGGATTCCGATAATACGAAGCAAAATTCATCGGGATCCTGTTTTCTGATTGG